TTTAATAAAAATATAATGGCTTGTTCATTAAAAGATATACTAACAACCTCTTATATTTAGAGGGATAAAAAAATTTTAAAAAATCTCTTATATATAAGGACGGAGGGAGTATATCTTTAATAAGGTGGTAATTAATTATCAAAATAACACTAATAGGATGTTTTATTTATATATAAAAGGTTGAATGATTTATTTATTAAAATGTTTCTAGGAAAAAAATATCATTAATTATACATTAAAAAATAAAAAATGTCTCATATTTCTTAACATTTAACCTAAAAAAAATGATACTTCTTCCTGTCTAAAATATAAGCATTTTCTTTCAACTAATCTTAATTCAAAACATAAGAAATTTAATATATTAAAAAAAATTTCATTTTATATCTTTATTAATCGAGATCATTGTGCAAAGTTATATTTTACTCGTCATAAAATGTATTGATAATTGAAATTAAGAATAAAAATAGAAAAAATAATAATAAATTTTTTTAAAATATATAAATAATAATTTGATCTCTCAAAATATCATAATTTTCTTGAACCCCCTAAAAGCTTTTCTGTCATTAATGAATTTATATAAATTACCTAATTACCTTGTTGAAAATAAATCATTCACAAGTTTTATTTAAATATTTACAACTTTTCTTCTTATATTCATAAAAATGTAACATTAAATCACAAAAGCAAATAAAAAATTGAACATGTAAAGTTGTAATTTACTGTTGTATTGTTATGAATATAAGAAAAAAAGTTATAAATATTTTAAAAAAACTTATGAATCATTTATTTTTAACAAGGATAATTTAATAATTTATATAAATTTATTAATGATAAAAAAGTCTCTAAAAATTTAAAAAAATATGACATTTTAAGGGACTAAATTATTATTTATATATTTTAAAAGGAATTTTATTGTCATTTTTTATAAAAAACAATATATTTTTTAAAAAATAAAGATTTTATTGATATGCAATTTTTTTTAAAAAAAATTTTATAGTGAAAATGACAATAAACTTTCACTAAAATATATAAATAATAATTATGTCCTTTGAAATATTATAATTCCTCTGAAATTCTTAGATATCTTTCTGACATTAATAATTTAAGGTTAAATGACTAAATTGTCCCTTGCTTAAAATAAAAAAAAAAAGCTAACGTGAATTTAAATTTTTTATTCAATTTTTACAATTAAAAAAATAAAAATTATGATTGCTTAGACAAAAAATTTTAACTAGTTATTTCTAAAAAATTGGATTTCAATGATAAAAAAAATTCATGTGAAAAGTTATGATTTATTATTTAATTCTTATGATTCACAAAATAAAAATTGTAACTGTTTAAACAAAAGTTGTGATTGGTTATTTTCACAACTTGGACTTCAATGATAAAAGAAATTTCACGTGAGAAGTTATAATTCCTTATTTAATTTTTACAATTTATAAAATTAAAGTTATAATTAGAACTGATTATTTTCAGAGCTTATTTGTCAATTGTAAAATAAATTTTACTTGAAGAGTTGTGATTTTTTTATTTAATTTTTATGTTTTACAGAATAAAATTGTGATTGAAAAAATAAGGTCAGACCTATTATTTTTATTTTTAAATAAAAAATAATTTAATATTTAACTTAAAATTATTAATATAAAAAAAGTGTCCATTAAAATTTTAAAAAAATTCTTGTTTAAAAAAATTTATACTTTTTTTTTATAATTTTATTGTCATCTATCCTTATTTATATTTTAAAATAGAGAAAGTAATTGAGCACTGTAATATTGTTAGACAAAAATACATTGGCCTTTGATTCACGTCAGAGAGCTGTCCACAAATCTCTAGACATGGGAATAATAATAAACAAGGTCTCATTTCCACGAGCAACATAACAGACAGGCCCGACAAAATTTTGGTATTACCTGAAGTCTAAATCTTTTTGTCAAAAAGATTGAGTCAGACAACTCAAGATCTGATTTAATTTTGATATAATTTAAAGTCGAATGAAATTGGATTGATTTAGTAGGATTAAAAGATCAATTTTAATTTTTTTCAGTATTTAACTTTTCTTTTTTTTTGAAATAATAATTTATTTTAACATAAAAAATCAATTAATATAATAAAATTACTTATAGTAATATAAAATTTATCACAATAATAACAATTATAAATTTACAATAATCCCTAATAATAACACAAAATTTTCGGTTGCAATATAAATAATTTAAATTAAATAATTTTTAACTGTTTGAAGTCGATTGCATCAAATTTGAAAAAATTAAGGTCGATTATTATTGAAATTTTGTTAAATATTCATGATTTTACAAATATAAAACATAAAAAAATTACTAACTTTTATTATAAATTAATTTATAATAATAATAATAATTAATAAATTAATTATAATTATATTAAATAAATTTATAGAGTTTGATGAAACCAAATAATTCAAATACTCAATTTTTTGTCAAATCTAAATCAAAGAAAAAGTCTAATCTCTTTTATCTCTTCAATCTTAAAAGACTAACTTTTGTCTTGGATCCAATTGAATCACGTTGTTTCGAGTTGAATTGTACCGAATTGGATCAAACTAGACTTTTGTACAGCCCCTAGTGCACGAACATGCTGAGCGAGTTTTACCTTGTCGTACTGATATGATATTCAAGTTAATTATTACGTTCACACTTTGCAGAGACATATTCCTCCAATTGGCAGAGCATAGAGAGAGAATCTTTGAAATAAATTAGCTTCCCGTGGAGCCCATGTCGTTCATTATTTGTTCTTTGTGCTGAGACTTGTCTTTGAAATCATCTCTTCGTTGCTTCTAAGAAGCATACACTATCTTTTACTTACAATTAATTATTTAATTAAAACCACTCATTTTCATCTGCCATGTGCATACCTAAATTCTCACTTATGTGGTGTAGTCCATGACCAGATACGCTCCCTCCTATTTTTATTATAAATTACTTCCAATCATTTTATACATTTTAATAAAATTATTATAAAAAAATGAAATATACTTTTATTTTTACTTTTCACTTTAAATAATAATATAATTACATTAAATACCTTTACACTAATTAAAAAAAATAAAATTAAAAAAATTGGTTTAATTATTATAAAGTGGCTTATATTTTAAATAAAAATTATTTTTTTAAAGGTGTGTTATAAATAAAATTAGAGAAAGTATTTCACTACTTGGATTTACCTATGTTAGGTGGCCCGGTTTTACTTTTTAGTTTTCACTCTGTTGTTTCTTTAAAAAAAAAAAAAAAGATGCTTGCTTGTAAAAGGTTTATAATTTTTTTGGTATGAAAAAAGTTTTATAATTTTATTATATGATATGATGATGGAGTCCCTCGGTAATGACAGTTTGTTGTATACTTACTCCACTTACTATTATAAGTCAATTTAATCAGGGAATTAAAAATGGGTCATTAAGGACAAAAATCTATTAAATATTTGGTTATAAGTCCCAGAAGCATAAATAAACCCACAAAAGACCACGATCCCGAAGGATAATTTCTTTTCAGCAATATATATATATATATATATATATATCAAAATAGAATACACTTCATTTTCCTGCACTTTTTTCTAGTGTACGGCTTGTTAAAAATTCTTGAATGACTTCAACATATCGGAGCAAAAATGGGAAGGAGATTTTGATTTTTCTCCAAAAATATATTGTTGCCCTGCAAGTTTTTTATTTGGTTTGAGACTTCAGCCCAAATATTTGGGCCTTTTGGTCATCGTGGCCAATTTTTCCATATCCATTAGTTAATAGAGGTTAAGTATTTTTTCTTGGTTAATGACATTTTTGAAATAAACAAATCAATGACCTTTAATATTTTGTATAATATATTATAAATCAAAATATAAAAACTTAAAAAAGCATAGGAAAAGTACCTTTTAAGAGTAGTAAATAGAAGGAATATTGTTTTTAGTTTTATTTGTTTTTCGGATAAGAGAAGTGCTGACAGAATCATATGATTAATTGATAGCCTGGAGCAGTCTTATCTCAAAGTGAGCCATAGAGTCTCATTCATTGCACATTCCTACACGAAGCTTCATGGTATGTCCCACGTTGGAAGATTTTCGAGAGAGCTCTGGCTATATACAGTACGCGGCACATTTTAGGAAGTTAATTTTTTAGAAAGAGAGAAATAGGTTCATAATAAAATGATATTAAATTTACACCTAGGTTTTACCTAGTTGGTGGGCCCTCCGACATACTATTGATGATGAGGATGTTACAAATCGGCTTGGACAAGCTGCTATATTGTAAATCAGTAGAATTTCAAGAGAGTGCTGCCCACAAAACGAGTATGCTACCAAGTCGTTATTCCTTTTATTTAAAAATATAAAATATTTTTAATTAAATTTTATTTTTAATAAAATAATTATTTATTTTTAAATTAATCTCATCTTTTTATATTTACTTCTATTAACTATTTTATAATAAATATAAAATTATCATCAATAGGGACACTTTAAAAAAAAAAGGCAATGATTACACTTTAAAAGATTAAAAATAACTTTCATTTTTAAAAATCTAACTTCTTAAAAAATATTTTATATTTTTGAACGAAGGGAGTAGCTTTTTAAGGAGAGAATAATGATACTATGACAATTAACTACTTATTGCTTTTTCTGTATTTTAATCTAAACAACACTTTTTTTTTTTAATAGAATGCCATGAATAGACCATGCAAATAGACACCTTATGTTATTTCAGCATACAAAAGGTTTCTAATTATAAAAAATATAAATATTTAAATTATTGATAAAAACTTAATAAACCATCCAACCTATGCATTTATTAATTTTTATGAAAACGTGATAACAAATAATGGTTCAATTTTTCATTAAACAACAAATTTCTTAAACGTACTACCTTCCCCCCTTAAAAATATCTAGAACTTGGTATTGTAAATTAAAAACAATGCCAATTATATATATATATATATATATATATATTTTAAAAAACGATAGTAAAACTGTGGAAGTGAAACATAAAGTGATGCGGGTCACCATGTATCATATTTATTTTTCTAGTACAAAGTTTGGACTTATTTATTTTTAACTCACACATGCTTAAAATATTCTAGCCTATAGATCACTTCACTCTCTTAATCACCGCCACCCACACCGTGACCATAGCCGGAGCCCTCACCATGACCATAGCCGGAGCCACCGCCTCCTCCACCGCCCCCACCGCCTCCTCCACCTCCGCGTCCTTGTCCTCTTCCCGACCCAGCTCGAGAGCCCGCATAAGACCCGGCGTGCGAACCAGCTTCAGAACCCGCTCCAGATCCAGAGCCAGAAGACGAAGAGGACGAGCTGGATGAAGAACTTGAACTGGAGCCAGACCCAGACCCGGCTCCAGCTCCAGCTCCGGATCCACTTCCACCTCCTAGGCCCAAGCCCAATCCTGCTCCAACTCCAAGGCCCAGCCCACCAAGGTCCAGACTCAAGTCCTTCCTTTCGATAACCCTGCTCTCTGATGAAACAAAAGCAGACGCGAGAAGAAGCAGAGCAAGCAGAGAACAAGACCAGGATGCAGAAGCACCCATTGGCACAGAGAAAATGAAGGAGAACGCAAACTATATAAGGAATATGATCGATGAAGTTGATGCCACAGCAAGTAAGTAAATAAGATCACTCTGGGTTTTCTGATGGGAAGCTCAAGAGTTTTGGCCTGAATATATATAGTTGCTGACGCAGTGATGGGAACATTATTTTAGGGTTAGAAATTAGGAAGTGGAGGATGTGATAGGCACAAACTTTGTGGCTGAAACTTCGAGAACCAGAAGCGTGTGACTGCGTTGTTGACAAGTGCCCTGGGAAACCGACCCATTTGATGTCCACTCAAGATAGTGGAGAATGAAAAAGCTGTTCATTGCTGACTACATGCATTTTGCTGCATGTTCTTGGTTTCGTATTGTGTTTGCTTTAATTACTGGTTGTTGTTGGTGCCAGCTTAGGTCTACAGGGTTTTGCTTAGCACTTACCCACAGAAAGTCTCACTAGTTTTACAAATTACAAGTATCTTTCTCATACACGAAGTATGATGAGACATTAAATATAAATAACTTTTTCAATAAACATTTGAATTTTAGTTCCTCGTAATGTAAGGTTTAATCTATTTTCCTAGGCCTAACCCATTGGTTAGTCTTATCTTTTTTTTTTTTTTTTTCCTGGGAATGAAGCAGGTATATATATTACTAAGAAGAAATAAAACCAGTTACAACTAAGCAGGGCATCATCCACTCACTATTACAAAATATACATTTTACTATCCTCAATTTACGTCACTTTTCTTAAAAGTGATGTAAAAAATAGAGGTGATAATAATTTCATAAATAAATATTGAATTTGGGAGCCTATCCATGTCACTTTATAGAAATCAACATGGTTATTTAAATCCATTTCATTTTACACGTAGCGATGTCGATTATGAAGAACATATAAATATGAATTATTTATTCACTATAAATTATCTACATCGTTTTTTTTTAAAATGAAATGTAAATAGTATATCCACGTCTATTTTTATTAAAAAAACATAGATTCAAAAACATTTTAAATAATATTATATTTTTTTTTATGTTGAGAATACACGTCGTTTTTAAAATGTGACATGGACTGTAAAAATCATATCATTTTAAATTTATAGGATGCAATTGATTTAATATAATTTAATTTAAATTTTAATAATTTATTTGGCTTACCTAATCTACATCGCTTTTTAATAAAAAAAAAAATCAACGTGAAAATGTTTTAAATCCATGTCCTGTTTTTTTTAAAAAAAAAGGTGACATGAATTTTGATGAATTTTTTTAAAATAGATATGTCCCCTTTACTAGTTCATCTTATGTATTTTGAAACCTCTCCCTCAGCAACTCTCTTTTCTCCCCATTTGACAAGCAACTTTGAGACCCACAACTTCGCCTCCTCTTTCCCATGGGATAGCAATAGCTGATTAGTGTTATTTTCACCCACAAATCCTTTTTCTTTGTAGATCTTTCTAACTTTTGTTTGAGCCTTCTCCATTATCTTTAATTTTTCATCAATTCTAGTATCATTTCTACTTTAAAGTGATTATTTCAAAACTTTGTACAGTTTTTCCTCTGAATTAATAAATCTTTCCATTACATTCAAAAAACAAAATAGAGAGAGTAGACTAAGAATGTCTGAATGAATCAATTTAGTTCTTTATATATAATTAAATCATTGGGCTCCTATAAAGTTTTCAAAACCCATATATAATAGTCATATGATGAATTCTCTAAACTCTCATTTTTAGCTTGTTGATGACTTCTAACAAGGTATAACTTTTTAGAGATTAAAGTGATAATCTACTCCATTATACAACATAGTTACTAATTATTGGGTCTTATGCATTATATGCCCATTAAATAGAATGATATAATTGTTCATTAATATAATTTTCTATGAGATTAAATAAATGAAAAGTTCATAAATGAATAAATTTCTTAATATAATTTTTCATAATTTGTCTTAGTGACTTCTGGTATTAGTGGGATGCATGAATTGGAATTGCATTCGGTGCTCATCACTTGATATTAATATTTAAAAATAAAAAAAATTAAAATTTTAAAATATCTATTCATTACCAATTTGGCTAATATAGATTTAATCTAACAGTTTAATTTAATATTAAAAATTTATAATTTTACAATTTAACTATATAGGTAGACTCTGTAGAGTTTAGGTATAATTTAATGACTTAATTTAATATTTAAAAATTTATAGATTTTATAAATTAATCATTTAAATATACTCTACATAGTCTAGATTTAATATTAAATTTTTTTATATTTTTTATTTTACTAAATATAATATTAAAATATTTAAAAATTAATTTAAATGAATGGCAGGGTTCAAATAAGGTTGAAATAGAGAGCCATGGCCTTAACGAGCATTCGATGCTCATCACTATGGTGAGCACCAAATGCAACCGTGTATGAATTTACAAGAGTGTTTTAATCCCATTATTGCAACTTGATTCCTACTGTATTGTGCAAGGAAGCAACTTGTTTATTTATAATGTTTTTAGTTTAGTTTAAATAGTCATTCTAGTTTATTTTAGAACTTTAATTTACAAGTGATTGTTAATTGTGGTAAGAAATTATTTAATATTTAATTGTTAATTTTTTTTTGTTGTATATTTTTTTCATTTATACTTAATTTGATATTTAATTATTTAGATAGGTTAAAATGTTTAATTTATTAATGTTGAAATTTGAAGAGGCCTCATTTTTAAGGGAAAATTTTGTCAAAATTTTTTATTATATATTGTTTTCTTTTATGCTTAAATATTTGATTATTTGGACTGGTTAAAGTGTTTAATTAATTGTTGTTGAAATTTAGAGAGGTCCCATTTTAAAGGAGAAACTCTATTGAATTTTTTCTAATGTTAATATGTTTATATAAGTTAGAGAATTGCTATTTGAAGGACTTTAATGTATATGCATTAATTTTTATCTTTTTTTACTAATAGGTTTCTCAATAATATTTGCATTGGGCCCAAAGAAGATCAATTTAAATTTTTGTGTCTAGCTTTTGTGACGCTAGCTGACAACAATATCCATGATAGGACAAGATACATGGGCAATAATATTTCAAAAAAAAAATTACCACATCATCTGGCCCCAGTACTTGAAGGGCAAATTGTTTATATTTATGTTTATATATTTAGTTTGGTAATATTTTTCTTGTTTTTATATACTAATTATACTTTTTATATGTTGTAATTATCATTGATCCCTCTTGTAACACTTGCCCCGAATGTTATCCAAAAATCACACAATTCAAATAAACTAAGTGTGGTTAAGGAATTAATCCTAAAACTAACTTAGGAAACAAACCATTTAAAGCCTTTAAAAAAAATTTATAGGTTCTACCTATAGCACGCTGAAGCAAGCTAGACGAAAGTGAAATGAAAAGATGCTATCATGACAGCATTAAATTGCTATCATGACAGCCCTCCTGGGCCAACTTTCGGGAGGTACCGTTTCGTCATTCGACCTCCGATCAAAGTGATTTTAAAGCTCACACGTCACATTCAAAGGGTACTATAAGTATACCAAATTTCAAAAAGATCTAACGATTGGATTGAAAATTAGACATGTTAAAAAATTAGTTATTTTTGCTGTCATGACAGCTAAAAGACAGCACTTCCGGACCAACTTCCCGGAGTGCACCATTTCATCATCTGATCTTCAATCGGAGTGATTCCAAAGCCCACATGTCACTTTTAAAGAATACTATTAGCATACTAAATTTTGAAAAGATCCAACGGACGGATTGAATTTTATGCAAGTTACAACATCAATACTGTAGCTGTCATGACAGCAATTTAATGCTGTCATGACAGCACCTCCAGACTAAATTCTGAAGTGCGTCGTTTCTCCGTCCGATATCCAATCAACGTGATTCTAAAGCCCACACGAAACTTATAAAAGGTTTTACTTGTGACCCAAATTTTAGAGAAATCCAACGGTCGGATTAAGATTTGGACACCCGGATGTAAAAGTGCAGCTTTTTGGTAAAAACCATTTTCAAAATTGTCCAAATCTCATCCTAATGGTCACAAACTTGTGAGAACATTTTGGACACGTCAAATAAGATTAAAAACACCTGATGGAACATTCAAATAATAAAAAACCTCTATACATCAAAATTTGACCACCCGGGTGCCATTTCTCAAAATGGACCCTAGACCCCCAAAATGCACAAATCATACAAGAGTAGTCACAAATCAATCCAAATACCATGTATTTATATAAATACATATGCTAAACATTTTCACTTGGCTCATAGCTCCTTGTGGGGCCACGCACCCACTCTCTCTATCCAAGGTGTATGTTTGCCCATAGCACACCATTTGCAATGCAACCACTTTGCATTTGCTTATAAAATCACATATATATCAAAATAAAGATATGCTTGTAATAGAAACTTGGTCTACTAAGTAAATCCATCAAAACGACACACCATAACCAGTTTCCTAGCCACAAGTCTGCAAACAGACAAAAATTCATACACAAGCACACAATCCACACATATTCACACACACATACATAATCATATCCTACTGGCACCCTAATCTTAAATACATTACAATATATTTGCTCAAAAGAAAGGGGTTGCAGTTCTTTACAAATCACAAGCAAACCCCTAGCTTTGCTCCTTTTCCCGTCCACCACTAGATCCTTCGCCTGGACTTAGAATATTGAAAAGAAAGGGGTGAGACAACCACAGTCTCAGTAACAGTGAAATCTACATTGATTATTACAAAGTAAGCCATAATTAAATAAACGAATAATAAATTCAACATAGTATATAATTTAGTCATTTAAAATGCATGAATGCATGACCTAGGCCGGTATGGCCTTTCATGACCAACAGAATGCCCCCTGACACTCTTTAACTCGCAGGTAAACCTTATACCTACTTGTACCTTCACAGGCACAAAACATAGTCTAAGGCATGATCTAATCCACCGAACCGCCTATACCCCTTCGACGTGAATCCTGAGCAGTCAAAGCTAACTCCCTCCCAGAGCCAGCTCGACTTACTCTCCATGTGAGGGCTACCTTGGCCTAGGCACTCAACCTCACACTTCATATGTCAGATTCCCTCCCCACTGAGAGGTGTCGAACAC